GTTATAAGTGTCGCTGTGATGACACTCATACTTTTAGTTTTGAGGTTCAGCAAACGACCCCTTCGCTGCCTCAAGCACCTAAAGGCAACAGCAAAGAGAATGAAAGGCTGTGGGGTCCTGATTCAATTGGCCAGTGGTGTTCCCTTAAATATGATGATGACATTTACCCAGGAGTCATTCAGGAGGTCATGGACACACATGTGCAGGTAAAGTGCATGCACGTTGCCGGAGTCAACCGGTTCTTCTGGCCACTGAGAGAGGATGTGCTTTTGTACCCTTTTGAGGATATTTTGAGAGTGATTCCTCCTCCAAAGTCAGTGACCTCACGCCACGTGGAGATTGACAAAGACATCTGGTCTAGTTTCTAAAAGGTCCAACTGAATGTTGCAATTGAATAGTACTGTTCTGTTGAATATTAATGTTACTGTACTGTTCTTTAATATTTCGTTTTTAGGTAAGGCTTCACTTGGACCCCTGTGCTGGTTTGAACCCATTACAAAACCATTACTTTAAAAACTGTTCTTTATTTGTTCCTCTACTGTGGGTTTGATCTTTGTCTGACATACAAGTCACTTTCGATAAAACCGTCACATTTCTCAATGTAAATGTAACTATTTAGACTGTTCTGTAGGAATTGAATTAGAAATGAATTCTGAATGTCTGAATTAGAAGAACTTGTTCCAACCCTTCACCGGTTACTGATCAGAGGGAATGTTTAATTTGCACTGTTATTTTTTGTTTTGCTTGATTGTACATTTCAAATGTAATGTATTTTGTATGAATTTGGTGTTTCATAATTGAATTAATTGAAAGTTTCAATTGAATTTTGCACTTCTTCCTTGAAATAAACATAGTGCTGATGGTTAATAATGTGTCCAGTCAACTATGTTATTTGTGTCAAATGTGTGACTTTCATTGTCAACTATGTTGCACCTCATTTTTTCAAATTTAAAATATATAAAATAGTGCTTCTGATATCCTATATAGCATAATGTATATCTACACAGGTTGGAGTTTTACGTGACATCTCTTAAAACTATCAAAATGACCTGTATGGTAGTTTTATAATATAAAATATCCCTATCCTTAATGACAGTGATGAACATATTACATGAAAAAACTAGGGCCGGGACTTTAACGCGTTAATTAAGATTAATTAATTACACAAAAATTAACGCGTTAAAAAAATTAACGCATTTTAATCGCACTTATTTTTGCACCGCGGAACGTTTCTCACTGGATGAGTTTCAGGCGTACCGATTATACTGGAGCACCAACTAACGTTCATGACTTCAGACAACAACAAACCACAGTGAACAACAGTGGGAAATGTTGTTTTAAAAAACGGACGGATGGAAGCGTTGATAAGAGCACGGTTGTGTGCAAATTATGCAAAAAGCAATTCGCATATCACCGCAGCACATCAAGCCTCAAGTATCACCTCAATGCAAAACATATAGCAGCTAGCGTGGAAGCTAGCGTGGACGTTAGCCTCTTTTATCGCGTTCACACCAAAAAGAGCCGGTACTAAAATTAGTTCATGAGAACCTTTTTACCCCCACGAAAGTCCCTGCTAGAGAGCAGAGAGCTGCTAGAGAGCAGGGACTTTCGTACGGCTCTCTTGTGAGAAAAGAGCTATATTTCTGATTGGCTGGGCGGATTGCAAACCACGCCCCCACAAACTCCCAAAAAGTTTTGTGAAGCCGCCATTTTATTATCCTCGCATTAGCATTATTAGCATTAGCCCAGCGCAGAAACCCAGAGAGACTAACTTATGGCAACACAAAATAAAACATGGGAGCGGTGGAGATGAGGAGGTGTCAGCGTTCTGGCGATTTACTCGGAAGGCTGCTGGGACTCCCAGCAGCTTCTACTGAAGCCAGTCCCCAACTCCGGGGACTTCCGGCCGGGGACTTTGTGCGGCAGTATACGCCGTGAAGTGGTTTGCGGCCTGCCAGTAAACCCAAAGCAGAAGAAGAAGAAGTGACATCAGCGGCTTCATTTGCCTAATCCACCCCCAGGTTCAAAGAGTTCTCATGAACTAAATTCTCATGAACTAAGTTCTCATGAACTAAGTTCTCATGAACCTTTGTGGGAAAAGTACTGCGGTGTGAATGCGCCTAATGGTATACTAAAATCCATGTGAAAAAAAATTGCTTCTCACTGTTCTTAGGTCAAATATTTATATGTGATTTAAAAATGCGATTAATTTCGATTAATTAATTACAAAGCCTCTAATTAATTAGATTAATTTTTTTAATCGAGTCCCGGCCCTAATATAAACAAAACTTTAATACAATTATTTTTCAATCTTTTAAAAATCTTTGGATATATGTTAGAATAGACTCAAGAGCCTTTCAAATTGGATTTTACTTGAAGTGTAAAACTTAATCAAATGATTGTAATGACATCAAGTTTGTCCGTAACATAGTTGACAAACTGAGTAGTGAAAACATCCTTTCCCTTCAAATAAAAAATAAATTAAAAAAAGTTTAAGCTTTGCAACTAGTGGATATGTTACACTGAGGAATATACTAACTTGAACCACTGATTGTTTTTTTTACCGTTTTGTTGATGTGAAATGTATACCCTAAATTATAGAATGACTAAACTGTACCGAAAATGAATACCTCACGATGTCTATCTAATTATGAACTTGCTTTACTTTCACGGAACACATTTTTGGTGATAACAAATGTAACAAAGTAACATATTTACCAACACATGTTCTACGCCACAACATACTTACATTTAAATGTGTGCTGCCCCCCAAACCAAGGACGCGGCCTCGGTGGAATTCCAAGTATGCTGGACCTTGGAACAGTACTTTGGCGGCACTCGATGACGTAGCATCCTTGAAATATTGGCTTGGAAGCCAGTATCCTCGAGATTGAGAAACGGCCTGAGAAACAGCCACTGTTTTCACCGGAAAGGGGGCGGGGCCGGTGCTTTGCCGTGCTGTGACGTAGCGTTGCTCTCATCTATAGTGGAGTGGCAGCCAGTAATAACAAACATTATGAAATACATATGATATATTGTTAAGTGTATCACAAACGTGGCAGCGAGTAATGAAATCCTTTAAAAACACGATACTCTCTCTTATTTGTCGTTGTTATTTTTAGAAGGGATTGGCACCCAAATGTTCCATTACCGCCACCTACTGGATACAAACTAATAGTGCATTCTAAAAAAAACTCCAACAATAATAAATCCACTCACATCAACTAAATTGACATCGCCAAATGTCTCCTTAATCAAACCCGCGACTTCAGGTCTGTCAGACAGAACTCAAGATTTGTCCTTGCTCCCAGTTATTTTTTATTACAGCCAGCTATTACATTTAAAAAACATGTTTAGCTTAATTTGTGAATGATGGAGTTTGCGAGTGCTTTTATTTTGAAATCACTTCCGAGAGTCTCGCCCCGCCCCTCGCTCCAATGACCATTAGACCATTTAGTAAGGTAAAAAGCTCATATTTGTCTAATATTAGTTTACTTTTCATTAATGAAGTATGACGTTACGCTGTCAGTACACTTGTCCCTGTTTGTGATTGGTCAAATGTAGCTAACCCCGCCCCTTTCACGTGAACGCGCTCTCAACTGGTGAGAGAAACCCTGGCTTGATTTACCGAGTTGATAACCAGCGTCGTAGGACAGCTTAGCGAGATCTCGTTTGTTAGTTTGTTTGTTACTCAAACATATCCAGGGTATGTTGAACTGGCTTCGTAGTACAGGGCACAGGTGACTAGCAGCGCTAATGTCAAAGACACAGACATTATACATTATATTTGTATTTTACCAGGATGCAGTGACACAAATATTTGGGAAGGCTTAGCCTTCCCTAGCCTACAGCACCCACCACCCCTGCTCGTAATCACGAACAGCTGCGGTCGTCTATGCCATTAATTTCACACGGCTGGTTCCAATAAATGATATGGGCTAATAGCACTAACAACAAAGGATTATAATATTCGAAAATATCAGACTATACATGTTAACTGTTACTAACTGTTACTAACTGTATATCTGTAGACTTGGTATGTCTTAAATGTCCGGTTAGGATGTATTAGAACGAAATCTAAAATGAAAATTGTAAATAAGCAATCTGTATGTAAAAAACCACCTGTATTTAAATTGTAAATAAGCCATCTGTATGTCAAATATGTCTTATATGTCTTAAATGACATGATGAATTGGAAATGGGGGACCCTGATGTAAACAAGACGAAAGTCTTTCTCTGGTCTGCATCCCCTTAACAATTGTATGTTTTGAGCTGTACTGTACTGTACCCAATATACAAGCTGTTAATAAACGTTTCAATCAATCAATCAACATATGGCTCCTACATTACCAGTTCAATTTGGAAAAGGAGAAGGAAAAGCAGTAATTAAGAAAAAAGGGATGGAGATCTGGCAGAAAAGGTGGGAGAACGACCAGAAAGGTAAAGAGTATCATAAAGTTCAAAAGACAATCAATATTAATATTTATAAAAAAAGAAACAGAAGGGAGGAAATCATGATAGCTAGACTCAGACTAAATCACACAGCATTGAATAGTATGCTGTATGTCATGGGGAAAAGTAACAGTGAAGTGTAGGAACTGTGGAGTTGAAGAAAATGTAGAACATATCTTATTACATTGTGACATCTATAAAGCTGAAAGAGAAAAACTAAAGGATAAAGTTATAGAGGCAGAGAGGGAATGGAATGTGTTTGGTATTCTGGGAACAGAAGGAGAGAGAGTAGAGCTACCAGAAAGGTACTGTTTACCTTTCTGAGGGAAACTGGGGTAGCAAAAATAATCTAACATTAGGTTAGAATTGATCATGGATGATTGTTGTGTTTTGTTTATTTTATGTCTTTTGTTTATTTATTTATTTGTGATTAGATCATAAATATACGTCCATGAGTTAAGTCATGGAATGATATGATGATTCACACTCATGTACAGTAGGTGGCGGTATGCACCTTAAAGTTGTTTGCAATCCGCCAAAAACGAGAGAAGAAGAAGAAGTGAAGTTCCTGGATCGAGATGGCGTCTCGTCGCTACGGTTCTCTCTCTCTGTGTTCCCGATAACGTGTGTGTGAGCTCCAGCACTACTGATCCATCATCTGTGTGTCTGGATAAACCTCCGAATAGACTCTGTGTTATTTTATTCTGGAGCGTTTACCTCGGACTATAGGAGCTAGCTTAGCATGCTAGCTAGCTGGAAACACGTTAGCAACACTAGTCAGATTGAGAGTTTTATGGAGAGAGAAACGGTGTGTTTAACGGAGTTTGCAGGAAAAGGTGATCTAGTAAACATGAGTAAAGTCCAAATGCACGTGGAGGAGCTGTCTCTTTCCAAAGAGGAGAACGAGAGACTCCAGAAACGACTGGACGCTGTTTTACAGCCTTAGCTTCGGATACACAGAGCAGGTATGCCCCCTTTACTCTTAATTAACACTTTAAACTCTTCAGTAACACTTTATTATCACATTAATAACACTCATGCCCCTTTCACACCAACGCGTTTTCAGATCCGGCTCGGAGCTGGAGCCTGAAAAGTGCCGGTTTTTCCTGTTCAAACCGCAGTGGCGCCTCCTCTTAGCTCCAGAATCCGGTTCACTTCCAGCTCCAAAAAATTGTCGGTCTAGAGGCAAGAGCTTCGGAGCTAAGAGGTGGCGTCGCTTACGTCTCTCTTACGTCGAGGCGTGCAGGAAACTAAACCCACCTCCCCTGAACATGGGTCGACTGCATGGATGTATAATAAGAACTGGATACAGCGTGGGAGGCGGGGCCTCATTAATTCCTATGAGAGTTGCTCATTAGCGCATGATGACAAAATGGCCCAACTTTTGAGAGAGCGAAACGTCACAGATTACCCGGCATGCCTGAGAAGTACCCGTATGTGCACTCATAGCCATGCGCAACTTTAACCACGCCGCCCAAAAGGCTCGTTCACATTAAGCACGTGAATTTGCGTACACGTAACAGCACCGCGCGTTCATGACAGCATGGTACTGGATTTATATTAACTGAGGCGGCAGTTAGCAGCTAGCGGCTAGCTAGTAAATGATGCTAACTTACACATCAATCGTTATGTACTTTTATATTACGCTGACATCAGGATCTAGTGATATCCAAGCAACAGAGCTTCATTTAGCATGATACTTGTGTGGGTTGTACATGAAACCACTTGGTAATATATACAAATGTATATGTTGAAGCCTGTTATGATCAATTGTGAGTTAAAACTTTATCTAAAAAGTAAAGCTGATGATGGATTACTGTGGTGGAGTTAAAATAACAATATCCTATTTCTTTTTGAAATGTGATGGAGTAAAAGGATAGTAACTGATTATTCATGTTAAGTAGCCCACAAGTAACTACAACGTATAATACTTAAAGGAAAGGTGTAAAATGTTCCCATAAATACCAATATCACAGTACAACACCCCTTGTTGTTAAATACCAACCATGTGTATATTAGTGCTGGGGGGAAACGATTATTTTGAAAACGATTAATCGGGCGATTATTTGATCAATTAGTCGACTAATCTAACGATTATTTTTCTGTTGTTCAATTCATAAAAAACGTAATGTAAAAAAACATTTTTATCACGATACTGTGTCTCAGGGGATCTTAATATTTAAGAACATATTAATGTGTTATACCAGATTAACGGAAATAATCTCAGCTAATTGACGATACAAACCATGTTTACCAAAACAAAACACAAGTCTCATAAGAAGCATCTAAATGACCACTGAGCGAAAAATGCTAACGGACATTGGCACAGAACTCAAGATAAAAGTACCCTTATTACTTATCGTAGCTGCACATACAATATATTCGATTAAAGCTGAGACTCCACAGATTATGTAGGTATATAGTATCATCACTGAGTGATCCGGACTCGCGACAGGGGAAGCAAATACAGTCATCACAACACGTACCTTCACAGAGCTTCTAGGGAGATCGTCTCACCACCGTAGCTGTCAATCTGATCAAAAGACGTGTTCAATGGCATTAAAATGATTACAAACGCGGCTGAATCGGTTAATCCATAGGTTTTTAACGTCTATGTATAAAAGAAAGATTGAATTTATAATCAATAATTCCATTTTTATGTAAAAATCGGAGAGCAAATGCTAGCTGCTAATGGTAGCCACCACAGCTAGCTGCTGCTTCTGCTAGGCTATGCAGCAGTCTCAGTGAGATATAAATATCTTTGCGTTTTGGACTAACTTTAAAATATTCCTATGCTTTTGAAGACCTAGGGCAAGATGTTTTCGTTTGGGGGCTTCGTGCGCAATCCTGTGAGGAGAAGGTGGTAGCCGTTTCAGTCTCCATTGTGTTTGAAGTGCGATTGCGAACTGCTTGTTGCTTTGGGTGACCCACGTGTGTGTAGCGACGCGTCAACGCGGATATATGTCGTCGACGATATTTTGAAGTCGTCGTCGTCGTCGCTACAGCACTAGTGTATGTATATATATATATATATATATATAAAAATGCCGCTAAAACTGTGTAATATACCAGGCTGCTAAATCCTCCAAACTGTTGTTGCTGGATGTGTATTTTGTGAAATGTCTATTTTTTTAAAATTATAATTTCTTGTTTTGAATCTTTAATACTTTTATGTATACTTTAAGTAACATTAGGCTGTCTTTGGCTCTTTTCTGCTGTAACAATGTAAATGTATTCTGATCTAATTGATGTTTTTGTCAGTTTGTTTCCCTATATTGCGACACTTATTTGGTTTAAGATTATTTCTCCTTTTTTTACAGACATCCCCAACCATAGTGGAATGCTGTTGTAAAGGATTGCATTGATCCGTGCATCAATACCTTCACCCAGCTTTGAGGCCTCCAATGAATGAACATCATCTTGTGGCTGGGAAAAATGTGAACAAATAAATCTCACAAAGAGTGACTTTCTGGTGTAATCATTATAATATCAAAGACAAGCACTTTAAGTAACAATATATAAAATCATTCAGCAGCAGAGGATGGGGTGGAAACAGCATTTCTAACTAAGATGATTACAAGTTAAACATCAAGATGAACATACTATTATTAATTTAAAAAGTACATGGGAGACTTAAATATCCTGCAATATACCATTAGCAGAATTGGAACAAATGTGCCAAAACATTTCTAAAATAAACATAAACTGAGGGCTTTCTTCCTGAGCCGCTGGGAGTAAAGGTCCTCCATGGATGGCAGCTCCGCCCTGGTGATGTTCTGTGCAGTTTTCACCACCCTTTGGAAAGCCTTATGATTGAGGGTGGTGCAGCTGCCGTAACCGGCCGTGATGCAGCCGTGTCCGTGATGGACACTGAGGAACCTGAAGCTGCTGACTCTCTCTACCGTAGTCCCATTGATGGCGATGGGGGCGTGTCCCTCTCTTTGCTGCTTCCTGCAATCCACAATCAGCTCCTTGGTTTTGCTGACGTTGAGATGGAGGTTGTTATCCTGGCACCAAGATGTCAGGTTTTCGACCTCCTCTCTGTACGCTAGTGCTGTAGCGACGCGTCGACTTCAAAATATCGTCGACGACATATTTCCGCGTCGACGCGTCGCCACCATAGACTGTATGACGCCACACACACGTGGGTCACCCAAAGCAACAAGCAGTTCGCAATCGCACTTCTAACACAATGGAGACTGAAACGGCTACCAACTCCTCCTCACAGGATTGCGCACGAAGCCCTCAAACGAAAACATCTCGCCCCAGGTCTTCAAAAGCATGGGAATATTTTAAAGTTAGTCCAAAACGCAAAGATATTTATATATTTATATCTCACTGAGACTGCTGCTTGACCGGAAGCAGCAGCTAGCTGTGGTGGCAACCATTAGCAGCTAGCATTTGCTCTCCGATTTAAAATGGAATTATGGATTATAAATTCAATAATTTTTTTATACATAGACGTTAAAAACCTATGGATTAACCGATTCAGCCGCGTTTTTTCTCATTTGAATGCCATTGAACACGTATTTTGATCAGATTGACAGCTACGGCGGTGAGACGATCTCCCTAGAAGCTCTGTGAAGGTACGTGTTGTGATGACTGTATTTGCTTCCCCTGTCGCGAGTCCGGATCACTCAGTGATGATACTATGTACCTACATAATCTGTGGAGTCTCAGCTTTAATCGGATATCTTGTATGTGCAGCTACGATAAGTAATAAGGGTACTTTTATCTTGAGATCTGTGCCAATGTCCGTTAGCATTTTTCGCTCAGGGGTAATTTAGATGCTTCTTGTGAGACTTGTGTTTTGTTTTGGTAAACATGGTTTGTATCGTCAGTTAGCTGAGATTATTTCCGTTAATCTGGTATAACACATTAATAGGTTCTTAAATATTAAGATTCCCTGAGACAGAGTATCGTGAAAAAAAATTTTTTTACATTACGTTTTTTATGAATTGAACAACAGAAAAATAATCGTTCGATTAGTCGACTAATCGATCAAATAATCGCCCGATTAATCGTTTTCAAAATAATCGTTTCCCCCCAGCACTACTGTACGCCGTCTCGTCGTCTGGGTGAGGCTGGGGAAGATGAGTGAGGGAAAGAGAGAAACAAAACAGGGGGACTAAAATGAGTGAGGGAAAGAGAGAAAAAGACAAGGGGACTAAGATGAGTGAGGGAAAGAGAGAAAAAGACAAGGGGACTAAAGTTTAAGAGAGAGGAAGAACACAGAATGTGAGTGAACAATTTAATTAAATTACACATTTAAAAAAAATAGTGTGAGTAAGTGAAGACAAGGAGGACTGCCCTGTCAAATTTAAAAGTTATTCTTGTTAAATATACATATCCTGTTGAGGCTAGAATCCAAAATGCAGAACCACTTTAGATTGTAGCCTCAAGGGACTGTTTAAGGTTACTTAAAAACATATCATTTCCCAAGTTGGTGAAATGAACTCCATCTCTTAGAAATATGCCAGGGCAGTCACACTTAATGCAAGGATGCCTTACACTCTACCCAAACAACTAACACATTTACCCATCTCTCTGTTCACCCACATTCTGGCCTTGTTCAGCTTTCCCGGATTGGCTTTCCTCCAGTGACATCTCTCATTGATAGAAGATATAATTATCTTCATCTCTGAGAAGTTGTCACTGAGGGAAAGCAGGTCCTGCTTCATCGCTGTGACAAGCTCCACACCTTTGATGTTGCCAAGGTCGTTGCCGCCACAGTGGATGAGCAGGACATCCGGGACTGTTCTTTCTCTCAAGGACTAATAGAAAAAGGGAAGAAGGTTCCTCCACCTCAGACCACCCTTGCCAAACCACCACACACGGCAATTGAGACCCAGGTTGCTTCCCATGGTGTGTCTGGCTCTTTCTTCCCCACGTCTAACGTAGCTGCTCCCTATTATCCACACATTGGGACCTAGATAGAATAAAATATATTGAAAAAGGAAAAAGTGGTTACTGGTGATCATCTTTTAGAAAAAGGTGGTACATGTAGCCTGAGTTGTCATATCATTTTCATCATATTTTTAAGACTACACAAGTTTAATTTGTATATTATATTACATATAACTCTATACTTGTATATAGAATCGCATTATTACGAAGCAGGATGTATCAAGTCACTGACTTTTTGTGATAAGGTCACAATCAACTGATTTCACTTATCAGATGTAAAAATAAGGTACAATATATTTGTTTTTGCCATATGAAAGTAAAGGGTATGCAATCAAAAAATTACTGACACAAAATGAATAAAAATTCTTATAAAAACTATACAGCACCTTGTCCAAGTATGGCGGGAGGCCCACTTTCCTTCAGGATTTCCTCTCTGGATGTCGATCCGGCTATTTCTGCCATCTATAAATAAAGTACAAATGATTAGCTCTTCACGCCTCTTTAAAATAATATGTGTTCTTGAAGATTCTGTATGCATCGTCGTTTACAATGGTAGGGACATTGCATTGGAAATTAGTTGTGAAAAAGATATGTCATTTTTAGTTTTTTCATCTCACATTTATAGATTTTAAATAGAAATATATATATATATATATATATATATATATATATATATATATATAAAACGAATTATAAATGCAAAGTCTGGTTTCTAGAAAGTTAGCTAATGCATACAGAGTTAACATTGCAGAACTGCTGGCATGCATACATTTCTAGCATTTTGGTTAACTATGAAAAGTATGGAAAATTACTGTGCAAACACCCAACATTAGCTTAGCCACAGTAGCGGTTGCTGATGAGTGGTTTGGCTTATTTTACTCTTTTATGTGAGAACATGTTACATTACATACAGACATTAAGGAGGCAGGTTAGAAAATAAATATGTTTTCGTATCTTACCTTTTGGAGCAAACTGTTGTCGGTTGTTAGCATATACTGTATATATAAAGCATTGTCTCTTTAGCCTCAGTGACGTGACAGTGAACACTGAACGTGACCGCGTGTGAAGGGGGAGGTGCTGAACACGTCACATCACATGAACGTGCCGGGCAGCGCGGTCCCGTGGGTTAGATGCACGTTCATAATGCCGAGGGAAATAACTCTCAGAATAACGTTATTAGCACATTTTTACAACTTGAGGAACGAATGTTTTTAATAAGTGCTATTCAAGTCTTCATACTGGGTTGTTTATTTAGTTTAAAAAAAATTATCCAACGAGTTACAGACCACTCTTTCCCCATGTAAGTCAATGGGAAAAAGTGTTTCCGGGCCCAGCAACCAAACGGAAGTGTAGTACCGCCGTTTGGCCACTACGAATATTCTCATCAGACTCCGGCGCACTTCCTGGGGGCTTGGTCGACTGTCATGCCTGCCTACAAGCAGTAGTGCTTATAAACACACTTTATAAAGTCAGGCAACACTAACCAGGCTTCGTGTGATTCTGTTTATTTGTACCTTACTTTGACCATCCGTTCACTGTTATTGATCATTGTGGAGAGAGGCAGACGTTTTGTTTTGTATTATAGCAGCTATCGGATGGAATCAATACATGGGCTGCACAGGTTGTCGTGTCCGACTATCACAAGTAGAATCATAATAAAAATACGCCTGTAAAATGTGCCTGTAGAAAACGGTTTATGCCACAATAGGATAGCAATAGCAAGTAGTCAGTTTAGCTTCGGTTGCTATGCTAACATCACCCATTTTATACCAGAGAAACTTTCATAACAGGGTTGTGATGCCAAACAGCGTCAATTCAGACTGACACACATTCACTTAAGGGGAACTGGGGATATGTGCAGCCAACACTGCAGCGGTCGGTAAATGCCGCAGAAACACATTGATAAACAATGAACCACGGCACTCTGGAGAAAAGCATAAGGTTGGAGAAGTCGTTATTTAATTTAATCTGGCTTCGTGTGATTAAAAGCAACACGATCATCGACCCGACGCAGTCCCCCATTGTTGTTGTTGTGAGCGCCGTAACGCCGTTGGGGAGCAAATCAGCGATTTAAACGGTGACGTCATGACGCAGCAGCGGCAGCACCAGTCGGGCTCTGGGCGGTGTGAACAGAGCGGGAACAGAAAAGGGAAACCGGAGCTGAACCAGAAAAGCTCTAGCTCGGAGCTAGAAAGGGAAAAGCGCTGGTGTGAAAGCCGCATCAGAGGCAGTGGCGTAGCCAGGAATTATTGTGTGGGTGGGCCTGGAGAAATGTAGGTGGGCCAGGGGGAGACTCATTAATTAATGATTTTTTTTTTTTTTTTTTAATGCACTAATTAAACATAAGCATAAACTAGCAGTGAAAACAAAAAGATAGGCACGGCGGCCTCAGAATGTGTGTAAAACTGACATCCACATGACTGGTTCGGCGGCCACAGAATACACAGGCTCGGCGGCCTCAGGTTGTTTATCCTTGACAGTCGCACACACGGAGTCGCTATAGCCTGCGAAGCGACGGCATCTTTGAATCGGTATCATACAGAGCGGCGATACTGCGACTAGAACACGCACACACACACACACACACACACACACACACACACACACACACACACACAATAGTCTGCAACAGTCTTTTGTGTCTGCTGCGAGATGCCATCGCGCGTCTTCGTATAGAAGATGAAGGAGAGAAGAGTAGATAAACAAAATGGAACTGATGGATAAAAGACAACGACGAGGCATGGACATCAAACGCTTCATGAAGAGGAACTGGCTGCTCATCGCTACGATGATAGCAGTGGTGTTGTCATCCACATGACTGGAACGGTGGCTTCAGGTTTATCCCGCATCCACATGACTGGATAAAAAATCCAAATAACACCCAAATAAAAAGTAAAAAATAATAACAATTATATTATATTGACGCACCAAATAGCTAGGCTTCATAACAATTACAAATTAGTGAAATGTGAATTAGCCTACCTTTTTGATGATCACAGCAGGAGACGACGGGGCTTGGTATTGAACACTGAGCTGATCTCGTCATGCTGCAAAGACTCGGCCAGTTCTCTTTCAAATGACAGAAGCGATAAGCTATTCAGACGGCCAGTCACCATCGATGCCCTGTTGTCTGTCTTGATTCGATTGACTATAGAAAATAGTCTCTCCACAGAGCAACTGGTCATCGGTAGAGTAACGAGTGCCCTCAGCAGACAATTCATATTTGGAAATATGTCACTTGGGCAGGTGTCGATAACTTCCATGAGTGATGGAAAGAGCCTGCCATCTTCCTCCTTTCTCTTTAGCTGCTGTACAAAAACAGTGTGTTCTGCAGCCTCCACTGTTATTCCAAAGTGGGCACTGGGTGACTGTATTGCTGCCATCTCGCCAAATGTCTCGGAACTGGGCATGCAGGACGCTGCGGCTTTCATCAGCCCATATGAGTCTGCTTGGAAACGAGTGTCTAGCTCCATTATCTGCCTGTCCAAGATGTCATTATATAATCTTCTTAAATCAGAGTTGTCCCTCACAGCGGTCGCTTTGCCGATTGTCGATTCCACGAGAGTCACCCAACCTGGCTGGCATCTTCCTCTTTCGGGAGGCAGTGACGTCCCAGTTCATAATGTCGTATTTCAATATAAAATCCTCCGTCAGTTTCATTACTTTGTCCAAGTCATTTTTGGAATTATCCCTGCATGCAGTGAAGCTCTCCTTAAGTCCCTCGATTAGATGTATGCAATCTGTTATAGATATAGTGGCGGATTGCAGGCCCTTCGTGGCGAAGTCACTCATTTCAAACAACATATTAAATGTTACGAGAAGACATTTCTTGTTCTGGATTTGTTGTAAGAGAGAGTCAGCCTCGATTTTCGTCTGACCAGTGCTCTCAGAAAATTCGGCAAGCGTTTCTAATATTGAATCAAAAAGACTCAAAACCTTATTAACTGAACCAGTCCTGGAACTCCATCGCGTGTCGGAGCCCCTCTCAAGCTCTAGCGCTGGTTTATGTGGGCGGAGCTGTTTCTGTACATTTCTATAAACTTTGCATGTCTATGTGACCCAGTCATTATTTCACACACACATACGGGTTTTGGGCCGAGGGCGACACCGTACTTCCAGTATCAACCATTTCACACGAGGTGCATACAGAATATCATAGTCTATTCCTTAATCAATATAGTCAACTCTAAAATACCACATATATGCATTGGCATGATAATATTATTGTGACAAGTGGGGTATTCACCTGGTGTTTCCAGAAGATAGACGTAGATGCTGCCAAAATCGACCGAAGGCCACTTTTGAGGGTCGTAATTCCATACATTGTACATCCAACAACCCACACAGCTCTAGTTTACGCTGGTAACGACCTAGAGCACACCCCTCAAGTCCAGAGATGTAATCCGAAGACATGCAGCGAGTTCTTCGGTCGTTAATTCAGAAAAAAAACCTAGTGCGCTCTGCCTGGCTACGTTAGCTAGCTGTTTATATTAGCATCGCCAGGATTTTTGCACCTCCAGAAAAATGGCGTCTTTATAAAAAAATATATGGCGCGCGTTGCATTGTGGGTAGCTGTGACGTCACTGTGTGTGAAAGAATTAAACTATGTAAGGAGTTCAAAATAGCAAAAAAGGTTGCGACGCTGGGTGATGCCTTGGATGCTGCGCAAAGCACAAGGTTGAGACGGTGCGAGTTACAGTGCACATAAACAGCATGGGGGAACGTTTGCTTCAGAATTACTTGAACCCCACCTCTTTTGCCGGACATCACTGATGCTCCATTAAAACTAAATCCAACACATAATGCGGGATCAAGCTCTAGTGCCTCCAGTACTTGCAAAATCTTTTCTGATATTACATTTGCAGTCATGTCCCCTGTCTCTACAAAACCCACAGCCCTCTCCTTCAACACTCCTTTGTGTAGGTATCGAACACAGACAGCCACCAGTTCTCTCTTGGAGAGGTCTTTACATGAATCTGCGAGAATAGCATAATATGTATCCGGCTGATCATGTAATTCACCTTTTATTTTCCGGATGAGTAGAGATACAGCTATTTCCAACAACTCATTTTGTATGTCAGGGCTCATGAGTTTACCATTCTTCGGTAGTTCGTCCAGGCGCATTTTTATGTTGGGGTCATAAGTACAAATTAATTTGAATAACTCAAAAAAATTCCCCCTGTTCAATGCCTCCGCATTTTCGCGGTGCCCCCGCAAAGGTATGTCTTGCTTGGCGCAAAATAAAACGAGGTCTATCACAACTTTTATGTGTTCTCGATTTCGTTCTATAAATGATTGATTAGCAGCATCCCTGTTAAGCTGGTTAATAATATTTCCCTTCCCTGATCCTGACTGGTGGCATTGCTTATAGCCTTCTACTTTTGCCAATGCTAAATGTTCTATAAATGATTGATTAGCAGCATCCCTGTTAAGCTGGTTAATAATATTTCCCTTCCCTGACCCTGACTGGTGGCATTGCTTATAGCCTTCTACTTTTGCCAATGCTGAAACATGTTGTTTGCTAGCCTCATGTTTTACACAACTGAGAAATATGCTTCCAGTCCTTAAATCCATCTTTTACGAATCGATCTTCGCCTGTCACTTCAGGGAAATGGCGACATGCCTTACAAAACACTGCATCTCTGGATGTGCTGTATTCAATCCAATGAAATCGGTCATAGCACCGGGCGGAAAAACTCCTACCTTTTCCCGACAAAGTGGTGGCTGGGAACACTTTGTGTTTGGGCTGTGTCGGGGGCTCATCTATACCTGACAAGTCTGATGGTGCTGCTAACTTTAAGTCTGTTCCACCTGAGGCTGAGGTCGATGTTGTAGGTTCTTCGAGAGCAGCTGCAGTGGAGGAAGGGAGTGGAGGAGGATGAGTTGTGATAACGTTAGCCATCTCGAATGCTGACTCTGGCGCTTGCTGGGAAGAATCACTGTGAGCAGCGGCAGCTGCAGTCGGTGTCTGGATGGATTCAGAGGTAGACGCCTGTAGTTCAGCAGAATCCTCCGTGCGAACTCGTTTTAGAAATTTAAACAAACTAGTTTTTTTTGCCATTTTGCAATCAACTTGGTACTGTACAGTTGCGCTAGCTACTGGCTGAGAAAGAGCGCGAGAGCAGTCAGGAACGTCAAAATCGCTATGACACGCTGATTGGCTGTGGGTGGGCCAGACATGCATGTGGGT